TTAGCCTATAGTAGATGAGAGGTGTTTATGCAAGGTTGGCAATTCTCCTGTAATAAAATCCAGAATGAGTCAATCTCCCTGCGGACACAGTTCTGTCCCTTTGACTTAAGCAAGATTGGATGAGGCTGCTGTAGGCCTTGGGCTGTTCCAGGTTCAGAGACGTGACAAATCATTGTCCAGTGACTGCAGGTTTGTAGGGAGGGACCCACAGGAGGCACACGGCCAGTTGTTCACTCTCCTCTGCATGCCTCGTGTGTGTGTGTGTGTGTGTGTGTGAGTGTGTGTGTGTGTGTATGTGTGTATGTGTGTGTGTGATCAGTATACTGAATCAGTATTGTCTTTTTTGTCAAAGTTCTCAAGGATCTTTGAAAGAGAAGCCCCAAACTGTTGTGTGTGTATGTGTGTATGTGTGTGTGAAGAGAGAGAGAGAGACAGAAAGAGAGAGAATTAAAATGTGTTGTATGTATTGTATCTGTCCTTGGGTCTAGGCATGTGATATGTGTCTACTGTGTGTGAATCTGTTTATAAGTGAGCGTGTGTGTGTATTGTATATGTACCTATCAAATGGATTCTAGGTATGTGTGTACATGAGCATTTGTGCATGAGTGTTTGTGTTTAATGAGAGAGAATTTTGACATCAGTGTGCATGCATCTAGTGATTCTGGAAATCTGGAGGTGGCTGTGTATCTAGGTGTATCTCTTTAAGATCTGGCCTTAGGCCACCCACAGCTGATTACTCACTCTTAAAAGGGACTGAGTGGCTTGTCCTCATTTCCTCACCTCCGCTGTTCTGGCATTAATAAGACCCATCCTTCACTTTCGTGCTGTTCTTTGGAGAGCACAGACAGACCGCTTCCATGTGTAATTTCTCATTTCATTCTGATAACCAATAATGCAGCAAGTGATTCTCTTTTACAGCTGAGAAATTCCCCTTAAACCTCTGCCTGTCCTCAAGGAAAACAACTCTCATCCTCCTTTCTCAGGCTGACTGTGCTGCTGATCCACTCCCTTCCCACTTCCTCCTGCACCCATCTCCATTCTGTGTCTTCTCTCACCCAGCGCTGCAGCTTTCTTCCTCTGACCCCTTTCTCCTCAAGGTCCCCCACCCTTCCTGGTCTCCCCTGACATTCCACCCTAACACAATCTTAAAGCTGCTCTTCCTAAAATCATCAATTCCCTGTTCATCATCAAGCCTAAAGTCCTCTTAGAGTATTCAGCCTGTCGGAGGGGACATCTGCATTGTGTAATATGGCCATGCACT